CGAATGAACAAGATGAGCTTACTTTTACTAACAATACGCCAGAAGAACCCAGTAAAGCAAAGAGGGAAGGCCGAAAGTTCATTTGTGGCTCCGAATCTCCAAACGTTTTTTTTCGAATGGCCGAAATCCGGCCTTACACAAGCTATGCAACCTGCAAGCTACCCTGTAAATTGTCAGAAAATATCCCCCATAGGAAAACCCAGAAAAGTCGCCTGAATGCGGCTATAGTGCCATTTCCAGTAAATCAGAGGAATTGTTTACGATGGGGTGGGTTGAAGGACACTTAAGTAAGCTGTTTTCATATAAGTGACTGAGTGATAAACCAAGAGAGTGTAAATACCACAGTCAAAAATCCAGTAGACTTAAATTACCTTTTCTGCGCTCCAGTACGGCGGCAAAATCAAACACCATAATTTCGCCAGACTCCACAACCTTGATGACCAGTGCATTGTCACTCAGTTGGGCGAGGCCATCGATGCAAACTTCGTGATCTACCTCCAATTTGAGCTCCATGTCCGGTTCTCGTTCCCGCTTCTCCAAACGCAAGTCAGTAATCTTCCAGGCGAACAGACCATCTTCACATCCGGCGATGAGGTAAGCATAGTGCGGCAGGAAGACGAGATTCAAGACAGGATTGACGTCGAGTCGTGGACAGCGGAGTCGCATAAGCAGCTGGTAGCGAGTCTTGTAGTCAGGTACCGATGGGATGCCAATATCCCAGACGATTACTGACGCCTTGGAGAATTAACACAAAAATAATCAGGCTTAAATGTGGTCAGTAAGTCTGCTGAAAAATCAAGGAAACAGACTGGGGACGAGGATGTAAATAAAGAATCAGTTCTCTACCTTCGAGTCACCACTGAACAGGATAGTAGGCTGAGATTGATGGAAAATCATTGCGGTGATATCCTCGGTATGACCCTTCATTTCGGCATAGCATACAAGCTGCTCGGGATGCAGCAAGCGGATTTCCCGCATGCGACCGGCAGCAGCCAGAATGTTTGTACGTTTGTTTCCTTCGACCTCCACAGTAGTCCAAGCAATCGTGTAAAATTCCTGGATGAAAGAAATATGGTCAGTTGTATTATGCTCTTTCCGTAAGACAAGAACAGAATAAAACATAATTATTTGACCCAATTGTGAAAAAAGCTCGCGACCTTGGTGGTAGTCGAACCCACGCAGCAGGGAAGG